CTTGTAAAACTGTGTTAACCAATGGATCTGATCTATTTTTATGTTCAATTTTCACATATTGTTCGCATTCACTTATTTTATTTATTTTTCTGTTCCCAGTAACTTTTGGACTTTTTTTTACTGATTGTAACTTTTTTAATTTTTTTTCATTATGTATAATTTGTATGTTTATTAAAACAAATAAAAGAAATTAAGCTATGAAATGAATATAAAAAGTGATTTTCAAATTTATAAAAAATTCTCTAATCATAAAGTTCTATGTGAATTCATTGTTTATTTTCTAATTAGAAAATCATACTTGTAATTTGTATCTTATTAAATATCGTATTTTCAGGAAAGTAGAAATTCATTGTCGAATTCTTATAGGTATTCGTAGAGTATTGCTTTCTGTTCTTTATCACTCTTTTTCCACTTTACAATATAGGATATATGCAAACGATCTACATCAAAATCTAAAAACATCAATTCAAATATTACAGACACAGCAGTTTATAATAACTTGCATACCATGCTTTATATGTAGTCTCGTTGGTGAATGAATGCTCATCAATTAATACAATTGGTATTACATACCATCATTCCTATAATTACTCGACTGTATAAGACCTAAAATTTGTTTAGTATTTATTAAGTACGGTAAATCTCTATATTTGGATATCGTAAATGCGTTCATTTGATTGGATCGACTGTGCTTAATGATAAGCTCAAATAAAAATAATAAATCAAATCGAAATTGCCATAAAAATAAATTTAATTAAACGTGTTTCATGATGACTTGAACTTGAAAATATCAGAATTAAATATGGTGCAAGAATCGCAGGATTAATCATCTACAAGATAAAAATTTGTTTAATAAGAAATATAATTTTTAATAGAAAAAAAGCGAACCAGTTCCAATAGAAAAATATCAAGTATGATTTTTCAAGCTCAATCTTTAGTAAACCTTACGTTTGCGCATATAATGATCAAATAAATCTATTCGCCTTTTTTATGAATTATGGTTCATCGTCTGGTGTATTATAACACTCGACAGATATCTCTTTTACTAAATAAATTCATTTTACTAAGTAAAATTCATGTAAAGATAATTCAAAGATAAAAATGTTAATTGTTATTCTGAACGAAGATAATTAAAAAATTGTAAACTAAATCTTATATAGAAGAGGCAGGATAAAAGTTCAAATGTAATTGTTGACTATTGTTGTTATGTTCATATGAGTGGGAGTGTGGTGGTGAGTGGATTCGGATGAGAGTGGCGGTGTGGTGTGAGAGTAGTTATTGGTGTAGTTGTCACTATGATTGTAGATGCGAGCGTGGACAGTCAATGTGAGTTCGGTGTTAGTGTGAGTCGTGGGTGTGCGTGTGTCTGTTAGTATGCTTGTGGGTATAGGTGTGCGTGTGGATGTTCGAGTGGAAGCGCGGATGTATGATGTTGTGTATGAATATAAGGATGCTAGTATTTTTTGGTGGATTGTTGTGATGTGTGAGTCTGACGGTGGAAGAATACGGTTGTGGTTGTGGATATTTGAGTACATGTAGGATTGGTTAAATAGGTGAAGAGAAGCGCCACACGACATGCACAGAGAGGTTCTCATGGACACCTGCACTCACGCCCATCACTCATAATGCACATTATCACATGATCAACAGATTTTTAATATATACATACTATGTAAAAAAAGTTCATGAAAGTTATATCGTCCATCAAATTGAATTAATTTACATCAATTTTAACAGAAATATAGTATATTTTAAGTTTCAAGGTCAAGTTGTACGGAAATGAACTAGAGTATGCTACTATTTTGAGAACCAAGGTCATTTCTAACAAGCATTTGTTCGAAAAAAGCTGAGGATACCCTTCGATAGATCATAATCTTTTCTATTTAACTGTATAACAACAATCTTCAAACGACATTGAAAATGCATCACTTTTCATGTGATATTGTTTCATTATTTTAGTTATATTTCGTTTGCTCTTTCAGTGTACAATTTGTTTATTCTCTCGTTCTTTTCTATTGTATTTAAAACTGTTTAAATATTTCCACTTTTTAGTTCAACATATTCACTATACAATCTATTTTCTTCGTTTATGATTATTTGTTTCTCGTATAATACAATATGAAAGATGTCGTTAAATACCAATACTAGTATCTCAAATAAAATTGAAACTTTTATAACATTTTTCTTGACTTTTTCCAATCACTTTCGTTTTTTAATTGAAGTTCATGTTGATAAACGATATATATTCAGATAAATCTTAATAAAATTGTTCAATTTAAAATGACAGCATGATGACTACTAACCAATAAAAAAACGTCCACGCACACACTTTTTGTGGTAGACTGCCACGAATCTCTCTTTTTTCGATTACGTGTACAAAATGCCAATTTGTTACATTAACATTACATATTAATTTTTGATATAAATTCGTTCTATTTTATAGAATTGTTTTTGAAATAACACAATGCTTGCTAGACCACCACCATCTTTGAACATAAGTTCTTTTCCGCCAACAATGCAACTGCAGTCACAACCATCATCGCAAATATTTCCAAAGCAATATCAATCACCTGTTTTACCGCCTAATTTTCAAGAAAATCAACAACATCAAACTCAGCCATACATTTCAACTCAATCTCCAGTTTTACCACCTAATTTTTCAGGCAACCAACATTATTCACCACAAGTGCCACCATCACAACCACCTTCTCACCCTTCTACTTTATCTGGAAGTCAAGAACAGTTCTATTCTCAATCACCAATGATGACAAATGGAATGAGTATGATGTTTAAAACTCTTATTTCAAATACACAAATGTTTATGTATTTTAGATCAACCGCCGGTGCA